GAGAGTCCTTCAACTAAGAACCAAAATGAATTTGAGTAAAAGATACCTTAGTTTTTCCTCCGTAAATCCTTCCTTCATTAGCAAAGGCATTTTTTTTACTGTACTGAAGACATTGAAGCTGCATTCAAATTCACAGATCACTGTGTCAAAAATTGCCTTTGCCTATTTGACTTGCAAAAATGCCTTAAAAATGACAATCACATTGGGAAAATCCTAAAGGAATGACAGTTTTCTCCTCTTCCTCCTCCTTCTTCTCCTCCTACCCCCTCACATCCCTTGTTCCTTGTTATATTAACCAAAATAACTTTTCTCAAATGTATCCTTCCTCCTCAATAGTTCCTAACTTTCTGAGAAGTTACTTGAAAGTTCTGCATCAGTACCTGCAATTTTTCCTCTGTATCCTAATGTAAAAAAATCTTGTTCTCTTGGGGCGCCTGGGTGACTCAATCAGTTAAGTGTCCAACTCTTGATTTTAGCTCAGGTCATGATCTAAGGGTTATCACGTTGGGCTCCACACTCAGCTGGGAGTCTGCTTGGGATTCTCTCTCTCCCTCTCCCTCTGTCCCTTCCCCCCCCACTCTTGTGCTTCTCTCTCTCTCCTCTCTCTCTCTCAAATAAATAAATCTTAAAAAAAAAAAATCTTGTTCTCTTGCCAGAGGTATCAAACCATCCTTTGGTTTGTCTTACCAAGTCTTGCCTTACCAAGTCTATCTTAAATTCCGAAGTGAGACAATGCTATTCCATTTCTGGTATGATGTTCAACAATCTTAAAGTTACTCTTCCTCACATATGAATCCATCCACTTTCCCCAGCAACTTTGATTTTGTTCATCTCAGTGGGATCTAATCTTCAGTTGCTGTATTAAACAGCATTAAATACACACTTTTATCAAAACTCTTAGTGTTACCCATTCATTTATTCAACAAATATTTAATATGTACCTTCTTTGTGTCATGCACTGTGTCAGACATCTGGGGTGTATTAGTGAACAAGCAGACAGAGATCTCTACCCTTGAGGGAAAACAGACAATAGCTCAACATATAAACACATTTATCAACATAAATTACATAGCCCATTGCAGGCAATAATTGCTATGGAAAAAAAGTTGATCAGAGTAAAGGGGTTCTGACTATAAACAGGGCAGGTTGCCCTTCTGCTCCGAGATTTATAATGCCCTTCCAACTTCACTCCCCTAGATATAGCTCCACAAATCAACTTAGGTGTGACCTTCTCCAAAACTTTTCCCCTGCTCCTCTAAGCCTAGAATAAGTCTCCTCCTCTTTGTGCCCAGAGGCAGGCTTTCCTTCTATACTTCTCTTCCTGTATTTAGTTATCTGACTATTTCTCTGTTTCTCCAAAAGCCTCTGAGCACTTTGAAGGAAATGATTTTGTCATTTATTGTTATATCATTAATATTGGGACAATGTAGGCAGTCAATACATGTGAAATAAAGAAAGGAGTTTTATGAATGAATGAATGACAGGAACATTGTCTTTTTCCTCTGACAATAAAGAAAGTGCTAAAATCAGATGCAGAGGCCACTTTGGAAAACTGTTTGGCAATTTTTAAAACACATAAACATATTATTACCATACAACCCTGCAATTCCACTCCCAGGTATCTACACGAGAAAAATGAAAGCTTATGCCCATGCAAAGAAGTGCATGCAAATATTTGCAGCAGTATTATTCATAATAACCCAAAACTGGGAACAATTTAAATATCCATCAATGGGTAAATAAATAGTGTGGTCTACTCATACAATGGAATATTGTCTAGCGAACTATCGACACATGCTAAAAGATGGATGAACCTTGAAAACATGATGCTGAGTGAAAGCCAGAAATAAGAAGCCACATATTACTGTACGATTCCTTTATGTGAAATGTAAAGAAAAGGCAAGTCTCTAGAGACAGAAAGTAAAATAGTGGGGTTGACTAGAGTCAGGTTTGGAAGTGAAGATTAACTGTAAATAAGCATGAAGGATTTTATTGATGTCATAAAAATTATTTAAACCTGATTCATTATGATGGCTTCATCACTCAGTAAATTTACCCAAAACTATTGAACTGTAGATTTTAATAGGGTGAATCTTACCATACGTCAAATATATTTCAATAAAATTGTTTTTAAAAATATAAGATGCAGGAGTGCCTGGGTGGCTCAGTCATTAAGCGTCTGCCTCTGGCTCAGGTCATGAACCCAGGGTTCTGGGATCGAGCCCTGCATAGGGCTCCCTGCTCCGCGGGAAGCCTGCTTCTCCCTCTCCCACTCCCCCTGCTTGTGTTCCCTCTCTCACTGTCTCTCTCTGTCAAATAAATAAAA